GTGTTTGTCTTCTCTTACAAATAATACGCAATTGAAATAATACATGTTAATCAAATAAGATTGCGAATTACTGAATTATTCGAGAGGCAATGAGTAATATCTGTAGTAGATATTGTATTCGTCTGAGTAGATTATTGATGTGACTAGGAGATGCTTTGTGAAGATGAAACAGCATCATCACGATTGAAGAAAATCGAACAAAATACTACTGTTGGTAAGTTATGCTTGAATGATTTATTTTCAAATATCCTCGAAATGATAGATAAGTAAAGAAATGTTTTCAAAAATCATTAATGTTAAAAGTAAACAACGATCGAGTGAAAAAAATGGCAAAGATATAAATACCACTTGAAATGTATAAAAAAGACGCAGGAAGTGATAAAAACTACAATTTACTTCAATAGATATCAATTCGAACTTGTAAAAGTCGACGCTTGTACAGTCGAAATAGCACGTGTTGCTTGGGACGAAGTAATTGTCTCACTTGTTGTTTTTCGTGGTTTACGTTTTGATTGTGCTGCTCTTTTTGGATCAACTGGAAGAGTGGAAACTGGTGCTGTGATAGTCCTTTTTGTTCGCTTTGCTTGATTTGACTGCGATGCTTTTTCTTTTAGATCATTCAACATGTTACTGGTCGTAATTTCTTCTCCATAGATCCCTTCAGTGCGTTTTCGCTTGCTTGTCTTTGGAGGCGAAGTTGAGCGAAAAGTATGCTGTCGAAATAAATCACTGACGATCGAACGAACAGCAGTTGAAGGACTCAATTGAGCAGATGAGATTGAATTTGTTTCTTGTTTATTTATGTTCAATTGACCTAAATGTAAACCTTGCGATTGATTAGTCGAAGCCGGAACGACAGCCGAATTTAAACCCATCGAAATTTGATTTTCCTTATCAGCTAAACAATAGAACGACAATCATTTGGCAAAAATGGTCGTGAGAAGAAAGTGAACTTACTTTCTTCTTCAAAATCGAGTATTGATACATGTTGTCGACGATTATTCGAACGAATAGAACTATCGCTACGTGTGATTGGTACAGTTCGTGGATTAAACCCCAAACTACAGTTATGAACGCCTTTCATTTTAAACGTTTTAGAAGTACATTTATTGGTCTTACATTTTCTGTCCATCGTCATCCTCTTCGAAATCGAACTCGTATAAAGACACATCGGGCATTGAATCAGTTGACTGTCGGTGTTGCTTACACATAGAACTAAATCAATCAATATTACTCAATGAATCACACTTATTAGAGAAGTTTTGTTGATAAATCTATCTCTTACCTTGTATTCAGAGATAATGTTATATCGCTTGACTTGTCTATTGGTGTAAGATTGAAATCGTTTGACGCATTATCACCAAAACCAGAACTTGACAAAAATGACGGAAATCTACAAGAAAGAAGCAGTGATATAAACGACTATGAATTCGTATCAAGTAGAAAGATTTTACCGAGATAAATCATGAGTGTTGGAAGAGGATCGACATGGCATATTGAGACTGAAATTCGAATTTGCGAACAATGATTGAAAGACATCTCTAAGAAAGAAGATTAATAATGACAAATGGTTCGATATTCTTATTGAATACAACTTACGGCGCTGCATTGAGCGATGATGATGTAGATAAGTTTGTTGTAAATGATAGATTGTTTGTTGTAGCTGCTGGTTCCGTTGTGATATTATTTGATGCTGCTCCGTTCGCAGTACGGTTTGTATCTTCGATGAACTTATCGATTAGATCCAACACCATTATCGCGGCCTCGTGGTCAACTGAATCCGATGGTGGTAGCAAAGCAACAGACGAATTTTGAAGACTTCTATCATTGATAATAGAAAAAGCTTGTGTTGACGCTGATTGAGCATTCGTTGAACTACTAAATTAATCAAATTTGCGATAATCAACAAGTCTTTCGACTATCGGCTAACAATGGAATTCCACTACTTACCCAGATGATGATTGGTTGAGATTTTCCACTAATGGTTTTCGTGCTACTTTGTGTTTCATAGCTGTTGGATCATAAGGCCAAACGCCTGTGCGTGTGAAACCAGCAACGATCTGTTTTGGTGTAAATTCCGATGTGTACAATTTGTTTAATAACGCTGGCAAATCTCGCTTGCGAATTGTTTTACGGTGACTTTTTGAGAAATATTTACCAACAACACGTTTCCACGATGATTTTACAGCACTGAAAATATTACAAAGTGTTAAATTCAGTCAATATCAGTAGAATTTTTATCAAAAATTTTCTATTGAATTAAAATAGTAGGAAATTGTTTACTCACCTAAATGTAACTGCATCGAGAGGTTGTAAAGCATGAGTACAGTGAGGCGGTAATAGTAATAGTAAAATCTGGTGCTGCCTTGCCATTTCGATGACTTCGATGCTAATATGTGCTGGATGGTTATCCATAATTAGAAGCATTGGCTTAGATACATCCTTCGTTTGGTCAACAAAAGATTTAAACCATTCGAAAAATAAGTTTTTCGTAATCCAACCCGATTCAGAAACGCCATAATACGAACCAACCGGACCTCCGAATGTCCAATCTGGATTTAACTGCTTTGCTGAATAAATAACAAAAGGAGGTAATATTTCACCTGCTGCATTGCTACACACCAGATTGGTAGTAAAAGATTTTCCACCGCCACCTGATTGTTCAAAGGCATGTTTCGTGTCGTGACTGACAATAACTAATTCACCTATGGAATGGAAAACATCGGGGCTTTTAACTGAAGATTCTCATTTACAATACCATAAATTTACTTACAAGCAGTTGCATCACTGAACCCAGTCTCGTCACAATTATAAATCGCATGGGGTCGGGTTTTTAAGCTGTTTTTCTCAAGAATTGAATTGAGTTTCTCGAACCAACGACAACGCACATCTTCCGTAAAACCGTTGCGACGAGCCGACTCCAGCTTCTCTTCTTTTATTACTTTCAGTTCATTCTGCCATCGTTGTAAAAAATTTTTCAACCACTTCCTTCCCACCTCGATCTCCTTTCCTATGACCAAATACGACAAAAAAACAGTTTTCTATAAAAGATCCGCTAACGATTTTACCAGTGATCCGTTGAACATAGTCCGATGATATTTGTAATGCTGTTGGTTTTGTTAATCGACAACCAATTGTTTCAAGGCTTTTTAACAATTCAACGAGATACTTTTCTTGTTCATTTGATAATAATGTCGGACGCCCAGCACCGACTTTCAAATTAGGATTTGATTTATGATTACGAATTGTACTTCCCGGAATTCCATACTTTTTTGTTAAATCTGAGGAACTGGCACCGTTGTTGTATTCTTCTACAGCTAATGGAAAGTTTTCTTTTGGATAATTTACCCTTGATTTTACCATAATACAGATTGCACCAGGATCAATATAACGAACCGAAGATATGAATAATACCAATAAAAAGTCTCAACTCGCACAGCACTTATTTTTAAAATAACAAATTTTCTGACACGAGAGAAAGTGTATTCTTGTCGGTCTTGATCATTGTAATTATACTGTATTAATGAAATGGATCTGTCTTTCTATTTGTTTTAATAGTCGGCGGCCGGCATTTCATACGGTCATTTCTTCACAATCTCTTCATGTGAGTGAATGTCGTTATCGAAGGATTTAAATTTTATGAAATCTGAGCAAACGTTCAAATTAATATATTCGTTTTATAATACTTCATTCCTTGAGTGTACGCACTACCTCAATAGATGTCAGCACTTGCTTCGCGCATTAGAATTGTGAAACATCAGCAATTAAAGTAGTTCGGTGAATTTAACCTATCAAAATCAAAAAATACTTCCTCAATCCATTACAGAAATTCTGTCTGTACGTGCTAAATATACAAACCATGAAATGAATGAAATCACAGATAA